CCCCAAAACCCCAAAACCCCAAAACCCCATAGTGACGAATTTGCTTTTTTAATGTGGATTATTAGAGTATTAAAAATGAAGACCGTGTAAAGAATATAATCACAAAAGACTCTTAGAGAGAAATCTTCTAATCAAAAACCTGATCTATAAAGGAAAAAGCATATTACCTATATGAGTCCTTCTTAAAAATCTACGACCTTTGATTAATGATAAATGATTGATTGGGTTAAGAAACGCTATCACAACCAGGCAAGCTCGAAGTACACTGTTACAAACAATGAAATTAAGCAGTAAGAAGGCTTGAAAAAACTGTTCAAAATGTTTGCTGATCCTTAGACTAATCAAATAAAAGTTGAAAGGTTATATTAGTTGTTTTTGGAAAATAGAATTACGATATCATACGATAAATTTATTAATCTAATTTCTTCTTGTAACACATCATAAGTTGAATTGCTATCGTTTCAGGAGCTCCAAGAAATTTCAAGCAATGAAGTTGTTAATCAAAGTAACATTATTTAGAGTTAACTATTTTAATTAGATTTTAGAAACATTATGAGGAAACTCAGACATTAAAAATAACTCATTGGAGATTTATAGTTCCTTGCACTTCCCTCTGATTTTTGTTCTCTGCTTTTTACTCTAAGCCAACTTTTACAAAGAGATAATATCGTCAATGAGCTCTCTGATACTGTAATAATATAATTTTCATAACCAATTAGAGTAAACTAGATTTGGAAAGTGTCACAAAGCAGACTTAAAGCTTTGTTAACTTATTTTAATAAGATTAGCAGTACTTAGAAAATAATGAGAACGACAAAGTTGTTTCATTTGTGATTTAGAATATTGAGAAAAGCCTCTAACACCAATAATCAAATATTGGCAAAACTTTGAATTCTAACTCTAGTAATATGATAACTATGACTGAAAATAAAATAGGTAGATCAATATTTAGAAACAATTTAAATTAGATCAATGAAGAGGAGAAGCTAGAAACTGAGTCAACTAATAGAACGTCAACTATGCTTAATCTTGATTTGCCTGATAAAATATTAAAACATAGCTATTCTACCAAGAATATTAATCGCAAAAAGATAAGCTTACCTAAATAAAATGAGGAGAATCAGAAGACTATGACAGTATCTACTCTGCCAGCTATAAGTTCTAATGATCATAGCAGGTCAACTGTGAATTTTTCAACATATCAAAGATCATTCCTGAAGTCTCCAAAGAATATGCCTTTGCCTCTAGAATTTCCATCTAAATATCCATATGTAACAAGCGTCCCTGACGATAGAAACACTTTTAATTTCTACTTTTATAAAAAAGATGAGCATCAAGAATCGCATACACGCCGATAAACTCTTGATGACTACAAGAAAATAAGAAAAACCAACCCTGAGATTATTTAAAGTAACTATCATGAATAAAAGGCAGTCATCAATTAATTAAACGTTTTAAAGTTAAAAAAGGAGCAAATCAAAGAGATTGCAGTTAATTTCAAGGTAAAAAATAAAAGATAAATTAGAAACTAGATGCTTCAGCCAATTGGTTTGGATTAATCTCAAAGCAAGAGTAATGATAAAGTTTGACTTAATTCACATTTATTTTATTAATTTCATATTCCTTACTTACAAATGTCTGAGAGGGGTTTTGGGGTTTTGGGGTTTTGGGG